TGGGATCAGAATCCAAAACACTATTTATAGTGTTATTTTCAATCTTGTGTCTTCAGATTTTCATCTTTTATTTCGGTATATTTACAGAATATTTATATTTTTAGCGCGGCCCATGGAACGTACATCAAAACAAGGCGCTGTTTAAATCGTAGTGGTCTAAAATTCGACTTAAGACATTTTACCTTCAAATTGCACTTCCTTGGAAGTTGACTGGTTGGGTTTTTTTCGTGCGACGTCTCTGGAAATGCAATATCTGGATCGCTGAGTTTTTCGAATTTTATACGTTTAGTATACGGACTCACGGAATGTAAACAATGTTGTCCGCGTTAGCGCATCGCATGCTCAGAGCTAGACCATTGTATTTGTGGATAACGTTTGTATTTGTGAGTAATACTTGTGTTTCATTGGGCATTATGAAAACATCTCCTCAGGATCACGGCACGCTTTTAGCCTTTCACGCTTTGCGTTTGCGGTTCACGATTTGTATTCTTGTCTATTGCACCATGTCGTCATTTTCAGGTCAGTGTGAACACCTGAGCAGGCGTCTTGTTGATATAAATTGAGCCCATGCGTGTGAAGGTCATTGAAGGTCGATCTTCCAATTATCGTGTAGATGACTGTGATTGGTTTATTGCCGGGAAGTCAAATGTATAGCCAATCTCATTCGCCGAGCCTGCGATCCTCGAGAAGGAACGTGAGGCTCTGGGAAATTCCGTTGCCGGAAGCCAGGAATCCTGGCTAAGATTGAACTACGCATTCTATTTCAACGGCCAATCAGATTCCTCCCTGAAACGGATTATCCCAGAGCCTCACGTAAGTCACGTTCCTTCCCGAGAATCGCAGGCTCGGGGAACGAATTGATGTATAGTGAATGTGAGCAGACGTCAGTCAGTATGCTTTTCCAAACGTGACAAATATATATATATATATATATATATATATATATATATATATATATATATATATATATATATATATATATATATATATATATATATATATATAAAGTCGTTCATGTTTTATATCAAGTCTTTGTGTTCTATATGATCAAGTTCTTCGTGTTATATGTCAAGTCGTTTGTGTTTGTATCAAGTCGTTCGTGTTATATATCAAGTCGTTTCGTGCGTGCATGTCAAGATGTCAGCTTGTTTACATCAGGTTTTACGTTCGTGTTATACATCAAGAAAGGAGAAGATAGTTTTTGATCGGCACTATTTTCACTCAAGGTCAGCGCTATTTCGGATCTGTCAGAGGGTTATAGATTCATGTCTCGCTATTTATAATGCTAACCCTAATCCCCACCCTAACCCTAAGCGCTAACCCTATTAGCGAGACATGAATCTATGTCCTGTCAGAGTACCTAGTTTTTTGATCAGCATGAAAACATATTCAAAATGGCTGCGCGAAATCGGTTATATATTCCCAACCTTGAAGAATTCTTTAACGATTTTTTTCAGCAAATCCAGAAATGTAGTAACTGTATACAGGAAAATAGTAACGGTAGATTGGCAGAATTTCTTGGTAGGCGCCTAGAGGAATATCAACCGTCGCTGCGCGTGATGTACTCCGGGATTTTCGCAACAACACGCCTGATCTTCTGAATAACTTCGAATAAATACTGGACGTTGTTAGTCGTATATTAAAGGGAACTTGGAATTACTTTATAGCGATGATTTTGGCGACGAGTTCCCAGAGAATAATGCACTTTGTACGACGGTAAATCGTGGCCTTGTTGGATGACCTCGCTATGAACTCACTCAAGATCAGATACAAATTTTAAGAGGCGAGTTGGGATTTAGATGGGTAGACATTGCTACAATATTGGGAATATCGTCCAGAACCCTGAACCGTCGTCGTCACGCATTTGGTATGTAAGTCGGACAAGATTACAACTTCTCAAATATAAGTACTGAAGAACTCGACAGGGTTGTTAGTGAAATATTAATAATAGAGAGGTTAAGATACCCCGGTTTACGGGTACGGGTGATATACACGTACCCATACCCGTAAATCGGGGAACGACTTGTAACTTAAGAAATCCAAGATATTCCGGCATGTGAAAACCGATCAGAGAATGGTAACTTTCGCTATTGAGGTTCGCCATAAATTGTTGAAAACTTTGACGAGCATATGTGCATTATTTATTTAGGTAAGATGTTGAAAATTTTAACTATTTAAACGGCCCACATTTAGTAAACAGAAAACACCCGTACCCGTTTGTCTTTTACGTGTAGACCTTGGTTTACCGCAGGGAAACGGGTAGAAATTATGGGTAAAAATGCTGACATCAGCAAAAACTGCTAAACAAAATGGCGATACTCGTACCCGTAAATCGGAACTGGAGTATCTTAACCTCTCTATTGACACCACAGTCAGGCCTTAGCCTTGTCAGCAAAGACGGCGTGTTATAAAAACTCTACACAGACTTGTCCGACTGACATACCAAATTCGTGACGACGACGGTTCAGGATTCAGGACGATATTCCCAATATTGCAGCAATGTCTACCCATCTAAATCCCAACTCGCCTCTTAAAATTTGTATCTGATCTTGAGTGAGTTCATAGCGAGGTCATCAACAACTTCAACAAGGCCATGATTTACCGTCGTACAAAGTGCATTATTCTCTGGGAACTCGTCGCCAAAATCATCGCTGTAAAGTAATTCCAAGTTCCCTTTAATATACGACTAACAACGTTAGTCTAGGACCTGTATATGAGTTTGTATGCGTTTCATTTACCACAGGTAATCTCAACTGTTTTAGGGTAAAATGACCATGGCGGTCAACATGGCATATGTGCCAAAACCTGAATCCTGGACGAAAGTCCTGAAAATGACCCCGCCCTGAAACGGCAGTGCCGACATAGCTCTAACTTCCGAAAAGCAAAAGCGATAGCCTTTCTGAAGTGCTTATAGTGTTTAGAAGGGTTGCTTTTAGGGGTGGTTATTGGAAGGAAAAATTTGTGTAAGTATAATATTTTACAAGAAAATGACCATTTATCACCCCAGGTAAATTGCTGATTATGCAGAAAATAACTAATATACATGGCAGAAATTAAATATCCTTATTTCCTAAAAAAAATTACCATGGGATGAAAAACTATGCTTAATTTAATATAATTATTGTAGTTTTCATAAGGATAGTCACTGTTTTCTATAAATATAATATATTTTATTTCACTTACCCCCCACGAAAACACGATTTCAGCCATATTTTGCCGTCTTGTTCGCTTTATATCGCCGTGTCTCGCAAATAACATCCAGTTGTTGTACTTTTACATAATGGCAAATGGCTAAAGGAGATTTCAACCACGTTTCGGCAAGTTTTGGAGCAGTGCAGTGTATTTTATCTTCGATATTGTGTCCTTCGATATTTCGTCCATATGCCGCCATTTTAATGGCTCGCCGATTCTCTGCCCGATAAATGCCACTTCTTCGTCTTCATATGTATTTAGATTACAGTATCCAAGAGTACTTCATTGTAGAATAGTCCTAAAAGAAAAATTGAAAAAAATACTTGCACTTTGAAGGAAAAAACCTCCCACAACAAATTCAGGATAGGAATAAAAACAAATCATTTGAAAGTCACGCGCAATCTTCGCGAAAATTCCTTGACAGGGCGGGGGGAGAATATTTTCACGAAACGTTGTTCGCCACCACAGCAATTCAGGTTTCAACTAAATATATTGTATTTATTGTATTTTATGATTTAAAAATAAAATTAAAAACATTAAATATTTACGTATTTTTATTATCAATCATAAAAATTCAATAAATATATAATATATCCAGACATCCAGTTAGGTTGCTGTGGGAACAACGTTTCGTGAAAATATTCGCCCCCCGCCCTGTCAAGGAATTTTCGCGAAGATTGCGCGTGACTTTCAAATGATTTGTATTTATTCCCATCCTGAATTTGTTGTGGGAGGTTTTTTCCTTCAAAGTGCAAGTAATTTTTTCAATTTTTCTTTTAGGACTATTCTACAATGAAGTACTCTTGGATACTGTAATCTAAATACATATGAAGACGAAGAAGTTGCATTTATCAGGCAGAGAATCGGCGAGCTATTAAAATGGCGTCATATGGACGAAATATCGAAGGACACAATATCGAAGATAAAATACACTGCACTGCTCCAAAACTTGCCGAAACTTGGTTGAAATCTCCTTTAGCCATTTGCCATTATGTAAAAGTACAACAACTGGATGTTATTTGCGAGACACGGCGATATAAAGCAAACAAGACGGCATAATATGGCTGAAATCGTGTTTTCGTGGGGGTAAGTGAAATAAAATATATTATATTTATAGAAAACAGTGACTATCCTTATGAAAACTACAATAATTATATTAAATTAAGCATAGTTTTTCATCCCATGGTAACTTTTTTTAGGAAATAAGGATATTTAATTTCTGCCGTGTATATTAGTTATTTTCTGCATAATCAGCAATTTACCTGGGGTGATAAATGGTCATTTTCTTGTAAAATATTATACTTCCACAAATTTTTCCTTCCAATAACCACCCCTAAAAGCAACCCTTCTAAACACTATAAGCACTTCAGAAAGGCTGTCGCTTTTGCTTTTCGGAAGTTAGAGCTATGTTGGCACTGCCGTTTCAGGGCGGGGTCATTTTCAGGACTTTCGTCCAGGATTCAGGTTTTGGCACATATGCCATGTTGACCCGCCATGGTCATTTTACCCTAAAACAGTTGAGATTACCTGTGGTAAATGAAATGCATACAAACTCATATACAGGTCCTAGACTAAATGTAAACCATTTGCATTAAAAAGGCTTCTTTAGTTTGAAACAAACTTGCATCAACCCTGTTGCAATGTTGTTTTTACCAACCAGTTTTAACATAGGCAGCCAGCAAACACTCTGTTACAGTATATCACAAAAAATAGACATACATATAGCTACTGAAACAGGCGCAAGAATATCGCTGGATAGCAAAACAACAAACACTTAAAATATTATTTCAATTTGTATTTTATAATCACCGATTAATCACTGGTTAATTTTGGCCGCTCGTTAGGTTGGGTTGCTAAATATTGGAGATAGAGACGAATTTAAAATTCCCAACAAATGTAACCCAACATATGTGACCACACTTTCGTTGCTGCAAACCTAAACTTTTTAGCTTACATTTCATTCACTTCTGCCAAATTTACAACCTAGCAAGGTTTTAGTTGTAAAATTTTGTTAGATCTTTGTTACGCCGTTATTCAGTTACCACTCAAAGGTTTGCAGAAATAAATAGGCGAGCAGCATTTATTCAAAATTGTTCAAATTCACAATGGCGGAAAAATGAGATTTCGTCTGATCACTTTAAATCGGATCGCATTTGGCAATTTTTTAACGCAACGAAACAAAACGGTTTCACATCACAGCCAAATTAAAAGACCGATATTAGTAGTATAGTAGGTACCGTTCGACCCGGATTTTTGAGGTGGTGGATGAGGTGGTGTGAGGTGGTGGAGTGTGAGGTGGTGGAGTTTTGAGGTGGTGGGTGTCCACCACCTCATTTATAATTAATACTCGTCCAATTGAGGAGGAGTAATGACGTCACTCATTAGCATACGTCATAATTATATGCAAGACGTCACGCGGGCAGGTTTAAACAAGGACGTGGGAAACTTGCTGACTACGCATTTTTTAGCGTTCCCCCACGTGTGTGATACAATAGGCTTATTATTGGTTTGCTCTGAATAGCTCGAGTCCCTCACAAGGTAAAATTGTTATCGAAATTAATATATAGCAGTTATAGCCGTATCTTTGCTAGGAATAGATAAATTTCCACGAGTATATTGAAGGACTTTTCGTATATTCCATATCGAGGAATCTATTCGTCACAAAAATCAAGACATATTTTAAACTAAACAGTTGCTAATCCCGGGTTGTCAACGTCGTTGTTAAGGTCAATATTTGCATGTTGTTCAACATTATTTAGCAATCCTCCTACATACATATATACTGTTAAGATGATCATAAGAAAGCTTATCAAGAGTAGAAGTTAGAATTAGAACAGTTGTAATATTTTTTGACACTATCATCTGTTATTTGTATCAATAAACATGTTTTAAGCTTTACAAATTTGCGTTGTTTATGTGTTGCTAAGTCATTAGGAGGTGTGTAGGTAATTAAGGGGATTAAGGCAATACGAATTTGCATAACTAAGTGTATCCCGATGGATAGATAGGGATTATTCTTAACGCAGGTGTATATCTTAAAATCAGGCGCGTGGCTTTGCGGGTACATGCATATATTAACGTACAACATATTTGTACACGGATCTTTTCGCGTGGGCGGCAAGAGCGGGCTTGCCGGCAAAAATTTACACAATATTTTAGTTTTTAAATACATTTATTTCTTCAAAACGTTTTACAAAATTTAGTAAGGTTTACTTCTAAGAGCGTAACGTCTAGGTTTTTTTGTTATTTTTAAAGAGTTTTCATATTCTTGTCTATCTTCTGGGGATAATCTTGCACAGGGCCGTTGCGAAGGGATATGGATTGGGGGGGTGTCGAAGGTCAAATTGCCGAGTGACGCCAGTTGAATTTGCCGAGTTTTTCAAAAGTTTGTATAGGTAATGAGAAGAAAAGTTTGTATAGGTAATGAGAATCATATTGGTGTGCTAGTAACTGAGGGACACCAATATGGCTCTTGTTTTGAAATATGGATGCTTGTTCGTGGGTTGTTGCTAAAAAGGAATCGGGTTGCTTTATATATAAAATACGACATTCTAAGAACAAACAAATATATGGTCACGAAATCGAAAAACACAATTGCAATAACTGCAACTACAGCTCAATGATTAGCACTATTTTATTTTCGTGCGTTTGTTTTCAGATAGGAGTATTATTTTAATTTATTTATATTAAACAAATAAAGCTGAAAAAAATTTAAATTTACCATAAATTTATACTGTGTTTTCATAAGTCCTAAATCGAGACTGAAACTATGTGCACACGGGTCACGTTTTTGAGCGTTTTTGCAGTGTCGTTTTCAAATTTAGCGTTTAGGCGCCTTGTTCACATTGATCGTTTTTCTCGCAACATTTTCAGACAAAGCACTAGTTTTTTATAGTCTTCGTTTCCAAATTTAAACACGGAATTTCATTTTCGCCTTCTACTTTTCTGTTTACACAATAACAAAGTGTCAAAACGACCAAAAGTTTCAGACATAGAGAACGAATCTTTGGCATCGTTTTCACTATTTGAAACGTTTTTGCTTCCTGACGTCGTTTTCATACGTTTTCGTGTGAACAGAACCGTACGTGAAAATGGTACTTTCAGTTTCAGAAATTAACGCATTACAACCAAAAACCGAATTTTGATGAATTTTGATGAATTTGACCTTTTTTATCCCCAGGCGCCGAATAGACAATTTATAATACTTTTGTATTTTGAGCAGTCTTAAAACTCTTAGTGCCGGATAGTGTTAACTGGGCTTTTGTACGACCCGATTTTTCAAGAGTTTAATTAAATTTTATGCGTCAGAAAGCGAGTAAAACGGATATGATCATATGCAACCGATCGATGATACCGATCGCTGTATGCGGTATGTCTTTCAAAACTGTAGGCTGATAAGAGTTAACAGTAATTTCGCTAAAGAACTAAAGAAGACAAGTCCATTCTTGTGGCATGCCTCGTCTTTCTCTTGGTCTTCTTCTCATCGGTGCCTATGGAGTCTTCTTGAGGATCTTGCGCCTCTGACGACTCAAAATATTCTCTTTGGCTTTGACTGCGGTTTGCTGTCTCAAACGGATTAGCTGGTACGTCTTTATGTGCTACTCGCACTTGGTTTCCCTTATGGCAAGTTTGCTCGTGCTTCTTACGGTAATCGTCGGGCCGTATGTTAGATAACTTTTATGCCGGTTAATACGTTTTCCCTCGTGAAATAAATAATAAAGTTTCTATAGTCGTCAAAAACCGAATTACATTCAAGACACTAAAGTTTTATTATTTTTCTTTTGGGCAGTTTTGAACCGCACATAATTGATAAAAAGCCTTCGCTATAAGAGCAGTCGAGCGAAGAACATGCCCGGAAACGTGGGTTTCACATTTCAGCCTCCCGTCGATTTTCGACAAATAAAAGACTAATAGTTTTACTAGAAAACAGAAATACATTTAAATGGTTTTGACATAAGAACACACAAACCATTATTTTAAATCCAAAATTTATCGCTTTATTTATCGCCTTCGTTCTTAACTTTTACAATTTGCTGAATGCCGATTTCGCAATTTGCCGAACAGTAACGAAGAAATTTGCCGACTGGGGCCGACTTGTAAAAATTATTGGGGGGGTGGAGCACCCCCCCACACCCCCCCGCTCGCGACGGCCCTGATCTTGCAACATCTTCATCCTTCATTGGAATATATTTTGGTCTTTCTTTTAGTAAAAAACGTTCATATCGCTCTCTTTCCTTTGGTTTCATCATAGCCAAGTCACTTTCTTTCCAATCAACAGAATCTACCCAATTGTGAAAAAAGTTGTGCTTGATTTTTGGTCGTTCACCTTCTGTTGGTGGTGGCGTAAGGAAATTAGGTTTAGGCGTAGCAGGCACTGGTGGTGGTGGTATTTCCGCTGGTACAGGCGTAGCATGCACTGGTGGTGGTATCTCTTCAGGCATTAGTGAAGTTCCCTGAACAGGAGCTTGAGCCGGGACATCCATCTTATTTTTGAATGTGAGAAACCGATTTAGTTGATCCGAATATAATTTGCTTTTTTCCACCACAGAAAGTTGTGGCGCTTCCATGATTTCTTTCATTCGCTGTTCGGCATCATACAGTGCATTTACAAGTGGTGGTTGACGATACGACTGTTTGTGTAAAAACTTTGTAATCTCGTCTGGAAGTATGTTGGTCTTGAGTCGATCTTGGTCACTCGTTGTCGGCTTTAAATCCAACATCAAATACCCATGAGGTCGGCTCGTAGCATCTTCATAACTCTTCATAAACTCTTGTACTTTCCCGGGATTTATTTGCCTTGCAAGCATGGCAATTTGCTGTTTATCTCTTGGTGACTTGAACAACACGATATAATGAGCATTAAGGCTGATATTTCTCATTTCTTTGCCCTGATGAAATATATTTTGGACAATATAGATGATGGACAAATTTCGATGATGGCTTCCTTTCGTAAAAAGATCAGAAATACGTTTATCTTTGCCAGATTGAGCTATAAGGTCGTCCAATACGATCAAATTCCGTTGAGATACGTCCAAGTAATCTGCGTTGTCGATGTCTTCGGGGATACCTTGATTAAACTCGATTCCAGGCATCGTTCTCATCATATCAAAATAGGAGGGTTGCCACTGACCATAACACCAGATGATACGTTGAGGAGCAGGACTTATAGTCGTTTGAGCATTCTCCAAAAGAGATTTCACCCATACGGTTTTGCCGCTTTGTGTACACCCAGCTACGATGCACGTGAAAGGATGCTGCATGACACTGGACCTATTGCCGATTACAGTTAACCTTCGTTCATCTGTACTGGTGCTATGCATTTGTTTTTTGTGACGTGAACGGTTACCAGGTGTTGAAAACGATCTTCCACAGACCTCGCAAGGATAAGACATGTTTACAGGTTCACAATCAAATGTAAAATGATTTCGAGGTTTGTGTACCGTTACATAAATAGTATTATATGGTCAAACCAACATAAATAATCTTATGATATCCTAAGATACTGTATGATATCCTAAGATACTGTATGATGTCCTAAGATGTTGTATGATATCCTAAGATGTTGTATGATATCCTAAGATACTGTATGATATCCTAAGATACTGATATCCTAAGATACTGTATGATATCCTAAGATACTGATATCCTAAGATATTGATATCCTAAGATATTGATATCCTGAGATATTGATATCCTAAGATATTGATATCCTAAGATATTGATATCCTAAGATATTGATATCCTGAGATATTGATATCCTAAGATAATAATATCCTAAGATATTGATATCCTAAGATATTGATATCCTAAGATATTGATATCCTAAGATATTGATATCCTAAGATATTGATATCCTAAGATACTGATATCCTAAGATATTGATATCCTAAGATATTGATATCCTAAGATATTGATATCCTGAGATATTGATATCCTAAGATAATGATATCCTAAGATATTGATATCCTAAGATATTGATATCCTAAGATATTGATATCCTAAGATATTGATATCCTAAGATACTGATATCCTAAGATACTGATATCCTAAGATATTGATATCCTAAGATATTGATATCCTAAGATATTGATATCCTAAGATATTGATATCCTAAGATACTGATATCCTAAGATACTGATATCCTAAGATACTGATATCCTAAGATACTGATATCCTAAGATACTGATATCCTAAGATACTGATATCCTAAGATATTGATATCCTAAGATATTGATATCCTAAGATATTGATATCCTACGATACTATTTTCGTTAATATATAAATATGTTATTTCCAACTAAATCTTCATTCCGTCGCTGACCGCCGAACAGAGATGACTAGCAGTTATATAAAACACAGACCGTTTGTGGAGCTCTTGTGTATTTCTCATCCAATTCAACAGCAAGCTTTGTTGAATTCTGCATCTCATGAACAGATTCGCTTTCTATGTAATTGCTTGGAAAACTTTACATATCCTAAAGGAACATTGAACAAACTTGAACCATTTAGAGATGACCTCGCTGACTTGGCGGACAGCAGTAGGAGTTTTAGAAAGAAAAGGAAAATTCTTGTTCAGCGCGGGAGTGGTTTTCTAGGATTGGTACTTGCACCACTTTTAGAGGGGCTTGCAGAATTAGTATAAAACAATCATCATTAATTCACATCGTCATTCCAACCATGAACAGCAAGGAGAGATCATCTCCGAGACATTGGCGCGTTGAAGATATACTTGGACACTTAAACGATAATGTTGATAAAAACAATGCTGAAGAACTTCTTCACTGCATTCTCACATCCACGGATATTCTCACATGGAATCTTCAAGGGGAAATTGTATACAAAGGACAAAATATACGTGGAACAAATATTGTAGATCTTTTGCAATATACTGTTTTACCATATAATACTGAAATTCCAGAACCGGCTGGACTGAACATATTTCTTAAAGGTCTTGCAAAATTGGAAATTGATAAAAGTCTGATCGTAAATGGACGTGTCCTTACAATACTATCCCACAAGCAGTCACTACATGATGTGGATACACAGTCTGATAAATCCGAAGATAAGTCTGAAGACGTGGACACAAGTTGTAACAGTTGTAACAAAGATTTACACATCTCCCATTTGGGTACATGCCCTGTATGCGCATGGACAGATTTTTATCCCAATTGTACAAGGTGTCACTGTATGATCTGTGATTTTCGACTGTCCGAAGGAAATGTCACTCATGTAATCGCCAGTTGTTCATATTGTCATTGTGATGAAATTACGGATGTTAGCACTGATAAAAGACATTTTTTTGAGCATAAAATAGACGAATAAAGTGATATTTGATCAGTTGACTACGTGAAGTTGAACTGAACACATCAATATGCCAAGGGGTAAACTTGTTGTAGACGAAAAACTACTGAGAGACCATTTCTTGAGACAGCAGCGTGGTGGAAACATCGCTGGGTATCGTGGTGCACGTTTTCAAAGAGGATACGGGATCGGAAGTATTTTCAAGAGCCTTGCGAGATACGCTATCCCTCTGTTCAAACAAGGCGCTAGAGTTGTTGGCAAAAGAACATTGCAAGCAGCCACAGAAGTTGGTCAAGATGTACTCCAAGGAAAAAATGTAAGAGAATCTGTAAAGACTCACGGAGGTGCCGTTGTTAAAGACGTTGCTGAGCAAGGAGCAAGGACTCTTCTGCGTCAAACCGGGCATGGACGCAAGAGAAGGCGAAGTCAATGCAGTAATTTATCAACTACAAAGAGGTTAAAACTGTGTTCTCATATAACAGTCCCAAGACATACCAAATGGATTACGGAAGATGAAAGCAGCCACGATGATGAAAGCAGCTATGATGAAGAATCTGATAGCGAAACCCTTGAAACAAGTGACGATATATATTAGAAGCATAACCTTGTAAAACGTTTTGAAGAAATAAATGTATTTAAAAACTAAAATATTGTGTAAATTTTTGCCGGCAAAGCCCGCTCTTTCCGCCCGCGCAAACCGCCCGCCTGATTAGTGTACAAATATGTTGTACGTTAATATATGCATGTACCCGCAAAGCCACGCGCCTGATTTTAAGATATACACCTGCGTTAAAAATAATCCCTATCTATCCATCGGGATACACTTAGTTATGCAAATTCGTATTGCCTTAATCCCCTTAATTACCTACACACCTCCTAATGACTTAGCAACGCATAAACAACGCAAATTTGCAAAGCTTAAAACATGTTTATTGATACAAATAACAGATGATAGTGTCAAAAAATATTACAACTGTTCTAATTCTAACTTCTACTCTTGATAAGCTTTCTTATGATCATCTTAACAGTATATATGTATGTAGGAGGATTGCTAAATAATGTTGAACAACATGCAAATATTGACCTTAACAACGACGTTGACAACCCGGGATTAGCAACTGTTTAGTTTAAAATATGTCTTGATTTTTGTGACGAATAGATTCCTCGATATGGAATATACGAAAAGTCCTTCAATATACTCGTGGAAATTTATCTATTCCTAGCAAAGATACGGCTATAACTGCTATATATTAATTTCGATAACAATTTTGCCATGCGAGGGACTCGAGCTATTCAGAGCAAGCCAATAATAAGCCTATTGTATCACACACGTGGGGGAACGTTAAAAAATGCGTAGTCAGCAAGTTTCGCCCGATCGTGTTTAAGCTCGCCCGCGTGACGTCATTGCATATAATTATGACGTGTGTTAATGAGTGACGTCATTACGCACCCTCCCTCCACCACACTCCACCACACTCCACCACACTCCACCACACTCCACCACAAAAAAGGGGCCCGAACGGTACCTATATTACTACTAGTACCTATTTATGTATAGCGGATCGTCATTGGGCTTCCTATAGAGCCTATATTTTCCGTTGTTAAGATTGAAAGTTACATCTAAAAAGTTCACTATGCGTAAATTTCATTCGGCGGTGATTTTTAGGTCAAACAGCTCGAAAATTTTGTGGAGTTCTTTTCTTGTTTTGTCTGCTAAACGTGCCGATTTACTTTTTATAGGGCCGTGTAAACAACGTAAACAATAGATGAATGCATGCTTTGTTTCACCCACACACACCCACATTCCGGCCAAAACACATATAAGCAGTCCTATTTTCGAAACTTGTCATACCGCCTGATGATTCTTTACTGATGAAACAGACTGTTGCGGAATTTTGAGGTAAGCGAAATTCTACATTTGCTCTATCTTTATGATATTGAGCACTCTTTGCGTTTCGTATTCATAAACCTTCTCGTATATATATATATATATATATATATATATATATATATATATATATATATATATATATATATATATATATATATATATATATATATATATATATATATATATATATATATATATATATATATATATATACTAGATAAAACATGAGCAGCCAATCTGTATCTGATATGGTTAAAGTATATCAAAGTCATTGTAAGGTGGGTTAAGTAGGGTAAAGGAAGTTGAAAGCATGTCAAAGCAGTTGTAATCCGGCATAAGTCGGTCTAAGTAGGGTAAAGGCTGCCTAAAGTATGTCAAAGTCATTGTAAGGTGGGTTAAGTCGGGTAAAAGAAATTGAACAGCATATCAAAGCTGTTGTAATCCAGCCTAAGTTGGTCTAAGTAGGGTAAAGCATGGTTAAAGTATATCAAAGTCATTGTAAGGTGGGTTAAGTGGGGTAAAGGAAGTTCAAAGCATGCCAAAGCAGTTGTAATCCGGCATAAGTCGATCTAAGTAGGATAAAGCATGGTTATAAAGTATGTCAAAGTCATTGTAAGGTGGGTTAAGTCGGGTAAAAGAAATTGAACAGCATATCAAAGCAGTTGTAATCCGGCCTAAGTCGGTCTAAGTAGGGTAAAGCATGGTTAAAGTATGTCAAAGTCATTGTAAGGTGGGTTTAGTTGGGTAAAGGAAATTGAACAGCCTATCAAAGTAGTTGTAATCCAGCCTAAGTCGGTCTAAGTGGGATAAAGCATGGTTAAAGTATATGAAAGTCATTGTAAGGTGGGTTAAGTGGGGTAAAGGAAGTTCAAAGCATGCCAAAGCAGTTGTAATCCGGCATAAGTCGGTCTAAGTAGGGTAAAGCATGGTCAAAGTATGTCAAAGTCGTTGTAAGGTGGGTTAAGTCGGGTAAAAGAAGTTGAACAGCATATCAAAGCAGTTGTAATCCAGCCTAAGTCGGTCTAAGTAGGGTAAAGCATGGTTAAAGTATGTCAAAGTCATTGTAAGGTGGGTTAAGTCGGGTAAAAAAAATTGAACAGCATATCAAAGCAGTTGTAATCCGGCCTAAGTTGGTCTACGTTGGGTAAAGCATGCCTAAAGTATGTCAAAGTCGTTGTAAGGTGGGTTAAGTTGGGTAAAAGTAATTGAACAGCATGCTAACGCAGTTGTGGTGCACCGTAATGGTCCGGAACAAGATAATATATACGGATCCACTATATCCCTGCAAGACTAAGTACTCCCTTCCCAAGAAACGTGATACTGTGTTCATGACATCACAGTTGTGTAATGACGTATATTATTTTTACGATATTATTTTTTTGAGGGTTTGTATATCCGATACACCACTGTCGCTCATACTTTTTGTGTGTGTTGGTGTTAGGTGAATATGATGTTTGTGATGTTACTCTGATCGTGTATCCACACCGGGCAAGCTATCATATTCACTGAGTACATAACGCCAACACGCACAAAAAGTATCATGACTTAGAATACATTGATATCGAAGGAACTAAACTCAGTTCCGAAATATCACCAACTCGAACCGACTTCACCTCGTATAACTCAGTTGGTAGAGCATTGGACTAGTATCCCAAAGGTCACGGGTTCGATTCCCACCATGGTCAGGCAAACTTTTCAGCTTGCCCGGTGTGGATGCACACTCAGAGTAACATCACAAACATCACTGTCGTTTATGTTGTACTATAAAAATGTATCAGAAGTGGGAGGAAAATGCTTCATCATAATAATGTTGATTATATGAAAGCCAGTGATGGAACCGAGTTAGCGAAACAGCCCAGTATGCGGGATGAATTTCTCTTGTGTATATATCATTGGTCTGTATGAGAAAATTTCATTCCACCTCTCGGGACGACTTTGTATTGACATTGGTTTGACAGTTTTTAAAATAGCTAGCCAATGAAGTTATGCATATAACGGCATTACATAAGAAATATATAGCTCGGTGTTGAAGCCTATGATTTCCGGGCTAACGCGCGCTGAATATACAGTAGAGAAAATAATAAAGGATTGTGCTTTGAATTAGTGACACAGACAGCGCGCAAATCGCAGGCTTCAACACTGAGCTATATATTTCATATGTTTCGCTAGTACATAACTTCAATAAGACCTACATAACTTCAATGTCAATTATTCTTTGCAACTTGCTTTTTTGTGTGAAATTCTCGTCTTAAAGCAAGCCCATGCAGTAGCGAAGTGTTTTTGGGAATGCCAATAATATCAAGACTTTGTAGACAAACCACAGACAATCCAGAGGATATCTACTGGATTGTTCGTGTAACGGCGCACGCATGACTATCCCATATGTATCTCACAACGATTGATTGGGTATTCGACCAATGCATTCGACTGAGGATATATACATGCCTCGAGATGCCTCAAAGCTGATGAAAATTAGCTAGATCTCAGCACCGTCCCGGGCGTTCCAACTTGACCAACATTATGAGTGTTATTTTTTGTGACTAAATGCACCGGGGGAAGTTAGTGGTAAGCACTTATAAAGATGAGAGTTAATTTAAAGAGGCAATTAAAACAGGAAAACGATGTCACATTGATCAGTTATTAGTTTCCCCTCGCCCTTATGAAATCAGAATTCCCTTCAGAAATCTTAAACCTTGAGCGCGCAAAGCGGTATACGAGCATTGCTAACTTGGAGCCTATATAGTGAACCAATAGCCCTACATCGAAGTGTTCATTATATATGTCCTAGCATTGTTTGCAAAGCAAATTTCCCGAGGAAGTTACCCATCATACCTTGCGCGCTCAATGTTTAAGGTTTAAGATTTTTGAAGGACAACCTATTTTGAATTGGCTGTATATGTATACATATAACCCTTTTACCTCAAGAGGTTGCCACACAGCTTGTTTCATCCAAGAGGAATCGTAAAAATCTTCAAAAATCTTAAACCTTAAACATTGAGCGCGCAAGGGACGATGGGTAACTACTTATTTAGCGTCTTGAACTGTGTGAGATTTGTGATAATTTTCAGAGAGCGCGCACTTACACCGCGTCACGCTTCATGGCGTTTCCGAGAGCATCACATCACATGCTTCAAACATCCACTTCAGCAAAATTTGACAAAACACAAAATGTGTTAGGCTGCACGTATCCAGTGGCCAGGCGATATTAGGAATATGCGCGAGCTTCTATTGTATTCAATATTTAAACATGGGGAAAATGTAAAAAAATGTTCAGATAACAATGTATTTCTTTTGTTCTTAGCCTCAAAAACAGATCTACGTTTCGCCCGCCCTAAAATTCGCGACCCGCGTTGTTATCTTGTTCTCGTTTAATTCCTGATAGTTCACAGTGGTCTACAAACGATATTGCACTAGTAGCCATATATTAATGGCCCGCGCGCTTTTATATTTATTGCATTTTGTTTCATAATTTCAATCGTGTAATCACACGAGAACCGAGAAAGCCGTATTTTCCCCATGTAATTGCTTTTGACCGAGTACCAGACTCGTCCCTAGGCTCCAGTATGTGCGCGGGGTTTACGACGCGCAGCTCATTCTCATACCCAGAGCCCTTCTTACGCGCGGTGCGACGAGGAGCTCTGGCCAAATCCATAACCGGATACCATAAAAACATGGTAAGAAAACAATATCCGGTGTTAGAACTAGCCAATCAGATGCCAGTTCGGAATATGGATTTGGCCAGAACCCCTCGTCGCACCGCGCGTAAGAAGGGCTCTGTGTACGAGAATGCGCGCAGCTCTGAAAACACACATAAGGATCCCTCTCCTCCCGCCCACGTGTGAGTTTCTCGCGTGTTTCTCCCGCGCAGGGACGAGGCTGGCCGAGTGCTAGTTGTCGCGGCAAAGCTAGCTGAAAAATTACACACGCACGTACTGATTTAATTGTATAGTTTATAATAATTTATATATTTAACTACAAGTATAGATTTTTAAAATTTCCACCTGAAAATAAAATTTACACCGTCGCTTTTGGCTCCATCCAACAAAACCTATGACTATATAGGCCTATGTACAAACATTACCAAGATGAACACTATATATAGCCTGGATTTATGCCCCAAGTATTGAACTGCCTTGTCTGGCAAAGATCGACCTTCAGTCCCTGTTTATGCCATTTCCCTTGAGCAATAGCTTGACATATTTCACACCAATGATGGAATTTTCTATCCCAATATTTTCCAATAATTGTTTCACTTATATCCCCCAGACCTTTTCGCTTCCATTCTAAATGCTTATTATATTCCGTTTCGTTATTCATCAAAAACTTTAGATGTTCGGCTAGTTCTCGGGGATTTTTGAAATCCCTTACGTTAATGATAGCGTTTTTAAGATTTCCTGGTAAAAACTCATAAATCTTGTCTGTGCTCATGACGATTGGCACAGATCCAGCGTTCAGCGCATGTAGAATTTGATCATCGACAAAATAGTCACAGTCTTGGTTGAAAAATGTTATAGCAAATTTGTATGTCTTTTGTAACTTCGATTTCATATTTTTAAAATCGGATTTATAACGCTGGACGAGTCCTGCCTTATTTTGCAAACATGCACCGTAAGAATCTACCTGGATATATCTCATTAATTGTCTGAGGTACTCGGTCCTCACCGGTTCGCAGTTACTAAATGCGGCCATAATCCTACCGGTTTTGTTTTTAAATGGTACAGGAGGGTTCAAATTTGGTTTCTTGAACAGGGGAGTAGGGAAATCGGAATCTAATCTGTAACTTCGTAGTAAATGAAATTGAGACATGTACTCTGTTTTTTTTAAAACAGGAGTATAAACGGGGTTCTCTAAAGTGGTTAGGATCCAAGGGATGTCTTTGTTTGGCGGTAGAGGATACGGGTCCCGAGCGTGGACGATGAATGCGTGAGCTTGTTTGATTCGATCACGATTAGATGTCACCTCGCAAGCAACTGGACACTGATCTTTGCCAATGCCTTTTTCAAGAAATCCTTCGCTCTTTTTCGCCGGGAAACCCTACAACTTGGACCAGAATAGGAGAAGGATTTTTTCGTCTGTCGCATACGGTACACGGATTAGGTTTGGTGAGGTGTCGGAGAAGAAAAGACTGAGAAGCAACAGTGTAATGCCGATGATGGTTGAAAAAGCGACGAACAAGAAAATTGGCCGTAGCGGTAGTTTTTTTGCGTGTTGTTTCACCAGCATTTTGTTGTAATGGACCATATACATTGGATGTGGTACTTGAAGCTGGGGAATACGATTTGTCAATTGTCAGCAAAGAAAATCAAGTATATACACTATATATGAACACAATATAACTTAGTGGCTGTTTATATATATGATCCCGCTTTGCCAGGACGAGATATGAGGCGGGACGATTTCGATGTATTGAAATAAGTCATGCTGCCGCACAATTCAGCAAAAAACTTCATTATTTTCGAGAGATAGATTATACCAGTTAACTGTAAACGAAAGGTTGTTTAAGCAGCAGTAATAATCTTCTTGAACTACAAGATCTCTACAATATTTGAGTTCTGTTAACCAGCATTTGAACTTTCGTTTCGCCTAGTGACTTGTTTCAATACATCAAAATCATCCCACCTTCCATCATGTAAACAGCCCCTTAGTTAACAATAGTGGCAATGCGCCCTGATGCGTCTTGGTTTATTATTTTACTCTGTCTAACGCCAGACGATTTTTTCTTTAAGGGAAGAGTTCTTTCACTCAATGATGGGTTAAGACTAAGACGGAAGTCAGAACCTTTGATATCAACGGTCAGATCTGACAGGATCTATTTTCTTCCCGCGAAAGCCCGTTCGATAATAGAAACAAAAAATGGCAATACATAATAGCCACCGAATTTATATTATTTAAACGCAGGCAGCCCGGTACAATATAATATAATAAGTTTTTAAAATATTTCGATAGTTTTAAAGTAAAGCTAAGTTCGGAATATTTAATTTAGGCACGCCTAGCTATATTGTGCGCGCTGCCTATATATGATTTGAATTAGGGCATAATTAATCGTTTTATTTGCAAATGTCTAATCTTGTTTCATGCATGAA